GCCCCGTCGGAGGGGGGCGTCTGGCGAGCTGGGGGGTGGTGGGTGGAGAGGAAGCCGGCGCCGGGACCGGAGGGCGGCTGCTCGCTGCCCTGTGCGCGGGCCGCAGGGAAGGGGCTTCGGGTCCCCGGCCCCGGAAGTGCCCACCGCCCGCTTCCCCCTCCTTAGCTGCTCGTTCCCGGTGTCCCCGCCCGTGACCTCCGCGCTCGGGCTTTCCCAGGGAACTTTCTGGAAGGCCAAGACCCAGCGGGAGCCTAGTCCCCGCCCCACCCTGAGGAGTGGGGGCGGGGCCACTCGTTGGGAGCCCCCGTCGGGGTGGGCAGAGCGCCCGCGTGGGCACAGAGCTCCGGGTGACGCCCGCTGCTCGGGCCCCGAACTTATTTTTCTCATCGCCGGGCGGCCTTGGCCTCCTTCTGATCTCCGACAGCCCTGTCGCCCCCGCCCCCACCCCGTGGGGCCGCCCTGGCTCTAGCAGTGGCCTGTATTCGGTGGCGAATCCGCCACCCCGAGCGCCTCCTAGTGTTGGCCCCTGACAGGCCACTGGCCAGGGTCCCCATCTGCAGAGGGCCACAGTTGCCACCGCCTGGGCCCCAGGACCTTCCTACCCTGGGTGAGGAAGAGGTAGTTCTGAAGTCTCCTTGGAGACCCTTAAATTCCTAGGTTCCCTCTATCAGCCCCTGGCCTTGACCACTGCCCAAGGTTGGGTATCATTCGACCCACTGGTAGCCTCAGTCACTCTTTGACTGTCAGTCTTTCTTCCAAGGTGGGGAGGGTGTCCCTCAAAACAGACACACGGGCCCTGCTGCTCTGCGGTCCAGTCCAGTTTCGCAAGCAGAGGTTGAATAAACCCTTGTGTGAAGGATGGACAACAGCAGGGTAGCGGGAGAAGAGGCAAAGTGGTGCTGGGGATGCAGGCATGGGCACACAACTAGCTGTGTGACTTGGGCAAGATTCTTAACTGCTCTGAACCTGGGCTGCCTTCTTTGTAAAATAAGGATGAAGATCTCTTCATCATAAGGCAGTCCTAGAGTTTAAATGACCAAGACATGTAAAGTTGGCGATGGGTTAAAACTCCGTTAACGTCAAGGTGCCTGGCCTCTTGTTTGACAGAATTCTAGAATCCCACAACCTATCCATCTGCCCACCCCTCCCCACATATGACAAATGAGCCCTGCCCAGTAAACTGAGGCTGGCTGGGCTCAGCTATACCTTTCAATCCCCCTGAATGAGAGTACCCAGGAGTCCTCTGGAGTCTGAAATTTTAACAATACAAAGGTCTCTGACTCCCATTCAAGTTCTCTGCAAAACCCCTTTTCTCAGGGAGCTCTCAGTGTGGGGGGCAGCTCTTGCTTACAGGGAGCCCTGCAGGACTGATTAAGCAGCACAAAGAAGGCCATGCTTTTCAGATGCACCTGAATTCTTGGAAGCTCAGGGGCTTGTGTGGGCAATTTCAAAACATTTGGTTGTGCCCCAGAGGCAGTCTTGCTTGCCTGTCCCTTGGGGCATACCCATCACCACCTCCCCACGGAACCACTGAGTTCCCAGACAAGTCCTTTCTTCGGACGCGATGCTTGCTCTTTATAAAATGTTCTTCTTCACGCTACTAGGCCTGAAAACGCTTCATCGTTCAGAGAAAGCCAAGAAGACACCTCCCCCACGCATCCTGTCCATAATTCCCAACTCCTGAGCAGCTTGGCTCAAAAGATCCTACCAGGATTTTCTTCACTTGCCATTTTGGCTCACTGTGGTTTAATGGTTTCTCTACACTGTCCATGAGCAGCAGAGATGACATTTCATTCATCATAGTTTCTCCTAACAAGTGTTTGCTAAATGAAGAAATGAGGGCCTTAGACTGAAGCTGTTGGAAATGGAAATGGAAAATGGGGGTCACAGAGACCTTCGTTCTAGCAAGAAGTGCCCCTTAGTTGTCATGTAACCTTGGACAAGTCACTTCATTTCTCTGAGTCCTAGAGACTTCTTACCTCTAAAACGGAGACAATCATCCCTACCCTAACTCATTGGTCTGTGGTGGGGTCAAGTGGTTCTGTGTGCAAAAACAATGTTATATGTCGAACGTAAGACACTGCTATTAAGGAAGAAATAATAAGAATAGGTCACTGGGTGTGTGTCAAGAGGGAGATGCTGTGATTACGCTGACATTTTAGGCCTAAACGATTAGAGGGGCGAGTTTGGGCTACTCCAGGGCCCTGTCCTCTGGGCCGGAGCCTGGAATCTGGAGAATTTTCTCGAGACTGTGTCACCTTCCCTCCCCCATGAATCTACCCCAGTCCTGGGCCAGAATCCCCCTGTCCCCATTTCCGGGCAAGACCTCCTCCTTGGGGAAGACTCCGGCTCTGTTTCCTCTCAGTGCTGCCCAGCGCCCACTGATGAGGAAGGGCCTCTGTGGATGGTACCCCTTCTCTCTCGGGTAGCCAGGGTTGATTATTTAAACTCAGGATTAATTTTGAGCTCTATCCCTCCCCCGCAATCGAGGTCCACCAACTGGCCCGACTGCCTTGTCAGGCCTCAGGATATGTTCCCGGTCGGCTCGGAAGTGAAGAGATCAAGTCGGCCCCAGGAGGCCATTTTTGTTTGACAGAAGCCAAGGCTGAGGCCCGGGGGCTAGGCCTTCCCGCCCCGGGATCTCCCCGGAGCCTTGGATGCACTCCCCGCGCTTCCCGGATCCCCGCCCAGAAGAGAGGCTCGGTCACGGCCCACCATTTTGCATTGGTCCTTGACGGCGGGGGCCCCGAAAGACCAGACCTGGACTGGGACTCGGCCACTTTCGCCAAGCGTCCCAAAACCAGTCCCAGGGTGGAAGTCACCCGGGACTCGAACCTGCCTTCTCATCCTGCGAGGCCTAGTCCGAGGTTGCTGCACTAATGCAGTCACACTGTCCCTTTAAGACGGCACTTTTTATTCTTCATTTGTTTACTTCTTCATACGCTTTTCGTTTTTTTTACAATGTGTTCACAGTATCCTTCCGCAAATGTCAGTCCCAGGCACTAACCACACGCACCTTGAAGCCATTCCTGTAATCTTAAGAATCAAGAGTTATTAGTTGTAGGCCAATATCTCTCTTTATAGAATTTAATCCTCTTTTACACTTTAGGGACTACTTTTTAGGAATATACCACTTTTGCTTTAACTAACAAATGTTTATGACCTTCAGAACCCTTCCGCTGAGGACAGAATATGATAATAGCCTCTAAAACTCACCTTTTCATAAAAATATTCTGTGTAGGCCCTCAGAGGCTATCGAATCTTCTCGTATTCCTGAAGCAGAATGGTATGGTCCAAAGCCCGCCCCATCTTCTCTGTGATTGGCTTTCCTTCTTTGGCGAGACTTGTGACTCCTGACCAATGGTCACCCACGTTTCTCTAGCGAGGGATGTGCGATAGAAGGAGGCGGCCTGGAAATCGCCCCCTACGCGTTCTGGGATTGGCTACGTCGCACGGCGCGCGAGGACGGCGGGCCTGAAGGATGAGAACTACGACTCCCAGCTTCCTGAGATGGGGACTCCGTTACGCATGCGCATGGGAGGGGCGGCCAGGCTTCTATATAAAAGGGGCGCAGAGGGCTGGGAGGCAGCAGTTGGAAGTTGGCAGGTGGAGAGGCAGGTTGGGAGGGGGAGTCGGGGGAGGAGGCGGAAGAGTTGCTGTCGGAAGGGGGAGGAGGGAGGGAGGAAAAGAGGAGGAGGCGGTGGAGATCTGAGCTGAACCGAGCATCGAGCCAAAGGGGAGATGAGTTTGTCTGTCCTCGGCTGAGGCTCCGGCCGGGCCTAGGGAACTGGGAGCTCGGGTTGGAGCGACACCCGTGGAAGTGGGAGGAGGTGGCTCTGGGACTTTAACCCCTTGTGGGCTCTGCGGCAGGGGATTTAACCCTTTGTGGATTCGGCCCCTCGGAGGCAGCGTCATCGGGTAGTTTTAACCCCTTCGGGGCTGGGTTTAACCCGTTGGACTTAACCTCATCTCCTTGGCCACCAACTCCTCGATCGTGGGGGCGCTCTGCGGGGAGGTTTGAGGTCCACCCCCTTTGCACATTACGTACTGTTACTGCTGCTGCACCCCCCCCCCCCGGACCCGCTTAGCTGGCCGCGTTGTGGGCACTTAACCCTTTATTGACTTGAGCTCTCCCAAGTTGCAATTGGAGTTTGTTGACAGAAGGACTGGCTAAAGGCGTCACTGCAGGAATTACAGACCGAAGAGGACTCTGCTGGACGTTTTTTAAAAGAAAAGAAAAGCCTCTTTTTTCCTTAAGGACTTACAGCCAAAATTTTTCAAACTTCGAGAAGAGGACTCTATTAGCCATGGCCGAGCCACTCTTGTCAGAATACCAGCACCAGCCTCAAACTAGCAACTGTACAGGTGCTGTTGCTGTTCTTGAAGAGCGGAACCCCGATCGCCCCCCAGGCGCGGAGGAGCGGGTGCCCGAGGAGGACAGTAGGTGGCAATCGAGAGCGTCCCCCCAGTCGGGTGGCCGTCCGGGGCAGGAGGGGGAAGGGAGCTTGGAGCCCCAGCCGCCTCCCCTGCAGACCCCGATCCGTCCAGAAGCTAACTGCCCGGAGGCAAGCGAGAAGGGCCAGAATAGGGATGATTTGTCCGCTGGCGGAGCCCCCCTGCCGGCAGCCGGGGGAGAACCGAGGCCCGAGGCCGAGCCGCTCGCACAGCCATGTCACGACTCCGAGGCCAACAAGTTGGGGGCTCCTGCTGCAGGGGGCGAGGAGGCGTGGGGACAGCAGCAGAGGCAACTGGGCAAGAAAAAACATAGGAGACGCCCCTCCAAGAAGAAGCGGCATTGGAAACCGTACTACAAGCTGACCTGGGAGGAGAAGAAAAAGTTCGACGAGAAACAGAGCCTGCGAGCCTCAAGGATTCGAGCTGAGATGTTCGCCAAGGGCCAGCCTGTCGCACCCTATAACACCACGCAGTTTCTCATGGATGATCACGACCAGGAGGAGCCGGATCTCAAAACCGGTCTCTATCCCAAGCGGGCCGCTGCCAAATCCGACGACACCAGCGATGAGGACTTCATGGAAGAAGCGGGCGAGGAGGATGGGGGAAGCGACGGGATGGGAGGAGATGGCAGCGAGTTTCTGCAGCGGGACTTCTCGGAGACGTACGAGCGGTACCACGCGGAGAGTCTGCAGAACATGAGCAAGCAGGAGCTCATCAAGGAGTACCTGGAGCTGGAGAAGTGCCTCTCGCGCATGGAGGACGAGAATAACCGGCTGCGGCTGGAAAGCAAGCGGCTGGGAGGCGACGACGCGCGTGTGCGGGAGTTGGAGCTGGAGCTGGACCGGCTGCGCGCCGAGAACCTCCAGCTGCTGTCGGAGAACGAACTGCACCGGCAGCAGGAGCGAGCGCCTCTGTCCAAGTTTGGAGACTAGACTGAAACTTTTGGGGGGGAGGGGGCAAAGGGGACTTTTTACAGTGATGGAATGTAACATTATACACATGTGTATATACGACAGCGGACCTTTTTATGACACATAATCAGAAGAGAAAATCCCCCCGGCTTTGGTTGGTTTGGTAAATTTAGCTATGATGTAGCTTGAGTGCTTTTTTCCTGTTCTTTAATTATGTGAAACTGAAGGGTTGCTTTTCTTGTTTCCTTTTTAGTTAGTTTTTTTTTTTTTTTAATGTGTAAGTAACTTGACCAAGTTATGATGCATTTTTCTGTTAAAAATCCCCTCCTTAAACGGAGCTATAAGGTGGCCAAATCTGAGAACCATTAAATTCATTCTAGTTATAATAAATTTAATATTTGTAAATGTAACAGTTTCAGTGTGATTTCTAGAGCTAATTCAAATAGTGCTGGCTTATTTTAAGGGCATTGTGTGGGGGGGGGGGTAAAGAAATCATTAGTCAGTTTGCAGAAAAAAATCTTTAATGGGACAGTTTTCAATTTGCGGATTTTTCCCTTGAATGGGTTTTAGTGTGCTACAAAATACAGTTCAGGCAAAATATAAAGATTTAATTACCTTCAATACTTAAGTGTGCTTGCTTAGTGCCTTGGTTTTAATTTTTTGATGCTGGAGAAATAATCCAGTGGTGGGTGCTTGGGGAGCAGAAAGTGGCTACAGTCAGAAGCTTAGAATTTAATTCTGCTTCTCAACAGCCAACCTAATTTGGTAGTTTGTTAGGTTAGACAAAGGACAGTCTCATTTCATTCCTACAAATAGGTTTTTAGTAATCCCTTCACCTCCCCAATACGGCTTGAAGAAGCTCCTGCATGTCTGAAAGAGGCTCTTGGTAAACCCCTTGCTTTTTTAGTGCAAGCAATGGTTGAATAAACTTGTGTGGCAGCTCTTTGTTAAGATGTTTAGAGGTAGGGAATATTGGATTTATAGAGGAAATGGCTGTTTGGGGCATTCCAAGGACTTACCCTAATTATCTAATACTTAGGTGCTCCCTATACTAAAAAAAGGAACAGGAGCTGTCCACCTTTTCATGAGGGTCAAGCCAAAATTAGAAATGCCCCCTCACTGCAAATGAAATGTAAAGCTTCTGGTTGGGGAGCTAAATTAAGTCCTTATGGGCCGAGTGGGAACCCTGCACATTCCTTGTGCAGTCGCTATCCTCAATCTCCTAATAGCTGCTTAGGTTCTGGAGTAGTTCTGTTCTTGAAAATGCAAGGAGGCCCTCAGAATTAATTTCTGCCCCCAAATCAAAATAGTAAGAAATGATTGTTGGCAATCTCTCTTTTGCTATCCTGGCCACCATTCCCTTGCAGTGTATTCGGTAAACTTCCAGCTCCTTAAAAACAACAAAAAAGAAATTACGATTGTTCCTTCCTGTCATCATGGTTAATCCAGCCCATCTCCACCTGGCTGTGTCAGTGTTTTCCTACAGCAGATGCATTGCTCAAATCATTAGCACAGGGGTTCCTTAACGTGGGGCCTTAGAAACCATAGGGGGTCTTGGGATACATGAACCCCATGAGTTTCTATGAAGACTTGTGTCATATGTACATTATTCTGGGGAGACAATCAAGAGAATCAGGAGATTGTTAAACTTCTTGAAGGTTAAGAACCTCTACAGGGAAAAGGGGACCCCCCCCCCCGGCCAAACTCCCACTGGAAAGCTTGCTTTTGTAGCTAAATGGAATGGTGGAGGTGGTAGGAACTTCTAAGAGTGAAACGCACCTTATGATGCATGACCATTCACAAATCAGTGAATCAAGGGAAATTAATGCTGGTCAAGAACTGACTCAGGGCCTTCAAAGCTGGACTAAGCTGGCCCTATTCTGGCAGATGGTCCACTGAAGACAATGTATGATCAGTTTTTCCTTTGGCCTAAAATTACATTAAATGTCTATTTTGAAATAGTTTTCTTCGTGTTTTTAATTTTCCTTCTGCTATGACGTCATGCAGTAGTCCCAGAAACCTGGCTGGCTGCTTGGTGGAAAGGCAGCAACACTGCCCTCTGGCTTTATAGTGCAGAGAAGCCTCATTTTGACTGCACTGTAGGATGCAGCAGTGATAACCTCCGATTGTAGAACTTGTTATGAAGATGAATGGATTTAAGTTTAATGATCTTGTTCCCCCTACTATTTGTCTTGGAAAGACTCTGTAAATACATTTACCGTCAGAAAAACAACAACTATGTTTTACTCTTAGGAGACAAATTAAGTCCAGTCTTTAAAAATACACAGTTTTAAGTAACTCACAAATTACTTTCATTTACCTGGAGATATGCCACTTTCCAAATTTTGCTTCCAAGGCACTTTATAAAATGTATTACATTATGTTCTTAGAGTGATGAGGTTTGCGGGAAATTTCAGTTTTCTATCAACACTTTCTACACTGAAACACTTGACTAGCATACTGCTCTCAGGATAGAGAAAAGACTCTGAATTACTTATTATAAAAGGGGGCTGTGCTGACAAATGGTCCTCAAGTCATTTGAGGATCTCTAGTCTTTCACTAAAGTCCTCTCTTCCAAACATTTTAACTGAGCTGCTTAAAAGACCAGGCTTACACACTGGCAATTTCAGTTTGTTCCCTTTCTCATAGGGGGCCTGGGTATCCAGCCAGGACAAAGTGCTTCCCCAACTTTGAGAGAGCTGGCTGGAAAGCTTAATCCTCCTCTAAGGAAAACTTTTGGGGGGTTAGCCTATAATACAAAGTGGCCTTCAGGAGACAGGGCCCTTTAGATATCATTTTTTTGGGGAGAGAAAACCAGGGAGGTTCAGATTGGTTTAATTCAGAAAAATATACCAGGTATCTCTAAAGAAAGAAAACAAAAATTAGACTAGCTTAAAAGGAGTAAAAAAACCAGGGTCCTAGTCATATCTTTAACATATACTGGTAGTGCAACCCTGGACAAAACTCTCTTAAACTCTGAGTCTCATTCTTCATCAGCAAAATGGGCCTGTGCCTACTTTACAAAACTGCTATCAGGATTAAAGGATGAAAACATGTTATACTAAAGTAAGCTAACATTGATATTATTTCTTTTATTTCTTTCTTTCCTTTTTTTTTCCAGTAATCTCTATGCCCAGTGTGGGGCTCGAACCCACAACCCCGAGATCAAGAGTCACATGCTCCACTGACTGAGCCAGCCCCTTGTTTCTTTTTAAGACCAGAGCAATTGCCCATTTGATCAGTATTTTAATTTTCACTTCATCTAGAGTAAAATTAAAATCCTTTGGGAAAATGTAAATAAATATGACCCTAATCACTTCAAAAGTTAGAGGGGAAAAAAAAATCAAAGAGGGAATCCATAGAAATTAAAAAAACCAAAAACCAAAAAACAACAACAAAAAATCCCACAACCACAAGCAAATAGTTTACCTTCAGAAAATCAAGAGCTGGCTATATTTAATCAAACATTAGGTAATGCACCACAGAATTCTCCCTGGCCACTTACACCCAGAACAGCTGGCAACAAATATTCACAACATTGTGATAGCAAAGTTAGCTAGAGCTGAGATAGTACTTGTATTAAGTACACTTGAGTTTGTGAGGTTTGTTTTTGAAATTATTTTTTCAAATTTGATAACATTGGAATAAAATACCACTTTACTATTCTTGCTCACACAAAGTATAAATGGTTGATGCTAGAAATGAAAAATAATTTTTAAAAGAAAGATGTCAAATTCAGGCCCTGAACAGTCGGGTGGGCTGACCAAAAGGTAATCGTCATACTTTGCAAATGGGACAGAATATACAGTCTAGGTGGCAAAGGTTCCATTTGAGCCAATGGTCTTTGAATACTGGAAAGTTTACAACCTCATTCCACTTCTTGTTGAAAAAAACAAAGGCTGAGTTTAAACAGATCAATAATTGAGCCCTCACAATTCCTCCTGAATAAACTTTTTCTTGGGTTTTACTCAGAGGTGGTTCAATTATGACAAATGATGTTAACAAGGTCAAGGGCAGAGAATAATCCTAGTAGTTTATTAATAAACCTTTGCACACCAACAAAATTCTTTCAAATGAGTGAGCTGCTGTAGGCAACTGTTGGTAAGTTTTTTGAAAAAGTGCTCTCTCTCAACGTAGCACCAAGAGCAGTTATATTTAGCTTAAAAGTTTTTTTTTTTAATTTTTTTTAATGTTTATTTATTTCTGAGGCAGAGAGAGACAGAGCATGAGTGGGGGAGGGTCAGAGAGAGAGGGAGACACAGAATCAGAAGCAGGCTCCAGGCTCTGAGCTGGCAGCACAGAGCCCGATGCGGGGCTTGAACTCACAAACCGTGAGATCATGACCTGAGCCAAAGTCGGTCGCTCAACCGACTGAGCCACCCAGGCGCCCCTAAAAGTTTTTTCAAGAAGAGCAAAAATTCAGAAGGAAACTGAACTCTCATCCTTCATATTCTATTTGACACATCCACAGACTTCGTGTGAAGTGTTAAAAAGCCCTGGGTTTGCAGTGAGCAAAAAGGATATTCCTGAAGGAATGTGGGAACTTGAGTGCCCCAAGCAGAAGCATCTGAAAAAATGACAGCATCGCTGCTCTTGTGAGCTCTCAGAAGAACTTGTGCTAGCCTCCAGAGGGTCAGAAAAGGAGGTTAATTTGAAGTCTGAAGCCTGATTCAACACAGAAGTTCGCATACCTGGATAACTCCAGTACAACTGTTAGGCAAAGGCAGGAGACCAAACTAGAGGATGGAAAGGAATGTCTAAGAGGTTACCTCTCTAGTTATTTCTAAAAGTGTACTTAACAAAACAACAAACATTTGAGCAATTTAAGAAGAGAAAATTCAAAGAGAAAGAGGGTGAGAGCGAAAACACAATAAAAAATTGATTATGATTGTGGAAATCCAATCACTCAGAAGCAAGCAGCTTCATGCCAAAGGGGACCTGCTCCAAGAGTCAATCCTACTCATCCATGGATCCTGCTCACAGAGCCACCAGGCCCCAGGAGCTGGCCATCAGGGTAAAAT